AAGAGCGGTTTAAAGAAGTTATTCTGAACCACGTAGCAAACGTAGTGGGTAGCGGTTATGGATTAAGAGTATACGTGTGCAGAAGTAACCACCCATTGTGTCTCTATAAATAGAAAGATCACGGACCTCTTCAGGGTCCGAAAAACTCATACCTAAATAGAACTCTGAAGCACTCTCCGCCTGCGCGCATATGGCTTTTGTGTATGGAATCGTGTTTGGGTATGACCCCTTTTCGACCATGTTTTCTTTTCTTTTCTAGATTAGGCGTAGAGTAGTCTTTTTATTGTTTTTGTTTTTGCTTGTAATGATGATGCCATAAGGTACAAGACGTATGAACCATGATTTGTATTGGACATATATGCATTGTTCATTCTGTTCACGTTATTATTTGCCTGCATGATTGTTACTTGTTGGTATTTGTCGAAGAGCATTTGGAAACAAGTAATCACTAGTATTCGTTTCCGGTAGTAATAATGTATTAACACAGTAAAACACTTAAACAGTAAACACCTAAATTGAAATACACTGTATGCTAGTAAAACACTTAAACAGTAAACACCTAAATTGAAATACACTGTATGCTAGTCTAAAGAAAAAGAATCCAAGACGAATTCCACCGTAAACACCTTTACAAGAACAGTTTTTAAGACATGACTTCCGACATTCATCAAGGTTCATGGTTCTATTAAACCATGATGAAGACGTGTCTGGCAATTTCAGGTGTGTGTATGTCAAGAAGCCATCTGTATAACTGTTATTGCAATTAGATTTGTTCCTTGAAACGCAATCTTCAAACCAAACTGCTATATTCCATTGATCGGGTGACTTTGGAACATAACCTCGCAGGCATTCACAAGTTGCTCGGTTACCATCTGAACTGCATATAGAATTTGAACCACAAAAGGCATAATTCTCGCACTGATCTTCCTCCCCAGTTGAGGTGACTTGCAAGGTTCTTCTTTGAGTTGTCCAATACAAACTCTGCACTGTGCCTGAAGGAGTCAGTTTATGTACCCTGAAGATCGATGGAACAACAAGGTCGTACTCATAATACACCTCTTTTTCATTGATGACAAAGTTTTGTGATATTTCAGGAACCGTAGTTGGTTTTGCAACTACAGACAAGCCATTCCATGACCCTTTTCTCGATTTTATATCAGGTCCCTTGAATATAATTATTTCAGGATATCCTCTAAGGTCAAGTTTTAAAGCATATTTTCCCTCAGCAGGATCGTTGTCACTATTCCAAGATGATATATATCTTTCTAGACCAGTCTCCAAGTTCCATCCAAGCTTCATTCCTGGGATCATTGTATCCCCAATTTCATCAAAACTTTGCCACAAGAAACTGTTAGTTTCTTGTCCATTTTTCACAACAAAATTTCCGGAATCCAAAAGATGAGCAGTTGGATTATTCCCTTCGTTGCTTGATATGTTGGAAGACCAAATAGTGTTGTTTGTAGCATTGAGAAGCACATGAATCCCATTTTCATTGAGTTTGAGAAGTCCTGATTTATCATCAAGAGGTTTATTTCGGTTAGCCACCCACACCACTGTTAAAGGGGATACCTTTGTGTACCATGTTAGTACTTCCGTTTTGCTTTGTTTAACCTTTTTATAAGAAAACATATAAATATAATAATTTTTCATATATTTATTTTGATATTTTTATTTTCATTCATAATAAATATATTAATTGTTAAAATATAAATTAATTAAAAATTAAATAGGATATAAAAGTATTATTGACAAAAAAAATAATTAATAATATCTTAAACCTTAAAAATGATAAATAAATAAAGATAAAATTTAACTAAAATAATTGATAGTTAAAAAAGAGAGTTGAGCAAAAGACAATTGAACAAAGCCTAATGATATAAACATGTTCTAGTTGAACATCATTAATACCTTTTCATCTTGCAAAAAAAAATATGGAGATACAATTACAATTTCACATCATTAAAATATATAATTTCAAAATGAACGACACTAAATAAATGTTGAAATGTGTGTATAAATATCCTATAATAGTCTCATAAATAATATAAAAAATATATAATAACTCTTCTAATGATAAATATATCTCTCAAACAAATTCATAACACAATTCTAACACTTTTTTTTTAAAAAAAATTCTCATCTTGACTATAAAACTTCTATCAAATCTCAATAGACGTAAAGCAGGGAAGTTGTTCCACACACGACTCGGATGAGAAAAGTTGGGGTGAAGAGCAGTAAGTCGCATATCATTGTCATGGGAGAAGACAAGTAAGCCAATCACAAATTCCACGGCAGGAAAGGATTGGCACGAAAGATATCTCTTAAATAACAAAAAGTAGGATTTTCAATCTCCTCTTTCTTTTTCTTTTTTGTCTTATCCACATAACTCTTTTGTAATTAAATCAAATGTGGAATAAGTTATTTTTTTCTCATCCAATACCGTAAATTTTAGTGATTCAAACACACTCTTAATATTACATATTTTTAGATGATTTTAAATAACAAATTTTTAAAACCTCAAAAACTAAATCAAACCATGAAAGATTAATATAGTATAATTTAAATTTCGTAATATATTTAAATAAAATTAAATTGATCCATATTAAATTTTTTTATTTAACTTTAATGACTTTTAAAATAAAAATTGGAATTACACCAAGTAATTAATCTTATCCATCATAAGCACCTCTCAATTCCAACATGTCTTTCTTTTCCCCCACTTCTCGACTAGACTATAAAACTTCCATCAAATCGCAATAGAAAAGCAGTGACAAAGAAAAAGTTCCGTTGAAGACCGCTAAGTCACACATCATTGTTAACCGGAGAAAACCAGTAAGTCACACACGGGTCGGACAAATAAATGTTATTGTTGCCTTGAAGACGGGTAACTGGTAAGTCACACATAACAGAAAAGGATTGCCACGAATATGGTGAGTTACATAATTCATTATTATCGAAATATAGTTGAATATGGAAAGTGTGTAATAAATACAAAATATATAATAGTAACTTTAAGGTTAACTTAATAATTTCACATGTTTGTCTTGTAAATTCTAAGAAAATCATTTCAATTGATAATATATATATATATATATATATAAATAACAATGTGAGACTCACTTAATTAAAATTTCTCACAAATATCTTTAAATACCTTTCACTAAACTAATTTCTTTTTTAAAAAAAAGTTCACTCTAATTCATCCTTCTCCTATTAAATCACCCCCACCAACCAGAGACTAAGAATATGAAAATTTGGAAAATGTTAATAAATCTAACGTTTAAGATAATTTACCAATTATTGTTAGTTTAAGTGAATAATGTTGTAGTTCTTTTTGAAATTTTTTTTGAACTTTATTTTCTTTATTATTTTATAAACATTTTAATGATATGTCTAAATGAAGTAATTACTAGAACTTGTTATACTCAATAACAAAATATTGATCATCGTGCACAACTTGTGTCATTAACTTAGTGTAGAACTCGTCATGAATTAAAACACATAGTACATAACAAGTAAGTGACTTGTCGTCAATCGATCATTAAGGATATTGAAGTACTTGTATAAGGACTAAGTAGAGACTAAAATGTACAATTTTCATAACCATAGGGATTAAGTGAGAAATTTACTCTGTCCTCAATTTATTCTAACAACTTATCATTAGAGTTATCAAACAAGTCAATCTAGCTTGACCCAACTTTTACACTCATCATTTTTTTACTAAGCCTAGTCCGTTGGATTAAATCAAATTGGCCCACTTTATTTATTTTAATAATGTTACTTGTAATTTTTTTTAAAATAATAGGTTTAGTACCTTTCAAACCTATATTAATTATTGCTAGTTTAATTGGTCTTTCGAATCAGGCCAAATTAATCTTATCCTTTTAGGATCTAAAAATAAATAATTCAACTTATTGAGCCAATTTTAATATCTCTATTTATCATCAATGAGATTGATCTAGAATATGTACATGAGGAAAAAATTATATTGATAAGAATCTTAAGAGAACCACACAACACAAGTTGAATAGTCCAAGACCTTATAAATCCCATGCCAAAATATCATACTTTCGATGTGGGTCTCAAGTCTTATGCCTTCCAATTGGATATAACACACATAAGATACCAACAATCTCAACATGTGTCAAAAAGAACTGCTTTTTTTTATTTTTTATTTTTTTGCTTTCTTGTGATTTGGTTAACAACTTGATAGTGATCTAAATTCTTTCATGTCAAAATTGGTTGAAACTTCACTACTTTATTCTATTGTAGATTACAATTAATAATTCTTATCTTCATAGTATTTTATCTCATACATTTATCTTGATACATGAAGCAAAGGTAAAGCAAGAAATCATAATAACACTTTCACTAGATATGTATCCTTAATTAACTGATATGTCCACATATGAAAGCAAAGCCCCATCATTTTTTTGACTTCATTTCCTATCTTGCATCTAACACTGTGAAAGAAAGTTCATTAATTGAGCCCGATTGGTGATTTGTCAATGAAGAATTTGCTTCAGATGTAACATCTATTTCAGTGTAAAAACCAGGAACCTTTGGGTTTGGCAATAATTTATCACCATTCAACATTAAAACCACTAATGACATATCTGGCCTATCTTCTGGTCTTTGTTGCACGCATAATAGGCCTACCTGTATGCATCGAATGACTTCAGAGGGCATGAATTGTTCTCCTAACACTTCATCCAGTAGTTCGAGTGCCCTCTTTTCAGTCCATAACGTCCATGCCTAAGATGGACAGAATTAAATTAGTATGAGTTAAATAATTCAATTTATACCAATTAGTAATATAGTTAGATCAATATACTTACATGTCCAAGAAGATTATTGTAGTGTTTTGGGTTTGAAAATTCTCTGTTTTTCTTCCCACTTACAATCTCTAGGATTATCACACCATAACTAAATACATCTGATTTTACTGAGAAGTGTCCACGTGTAGCATACTCGGGCGGCATATAACCACTAAAAAAAAAAAAATTAAACTTGGCAACATAATGTTAAAGAATCAAAGTCAAATAGAAACTTACTATGTTCCAGCCACCCTATTGGTGTTTGCCTCAACTTGATCTCCCAAAAATGATCGAGCCAAGCCAAAGTCTGATATTTTAGGATCCAAATTAGCATCCAATAAAATATTACTTGTTTTTAGGTCTCTATGAATAATCCTCAATCTAGAGTCTTGATGAAGATACAGGAGTCCTCTGGCAATGCCACTAATAATGTTGAAACGCTTACACCAATCTAATAACTTCCTTTTGGTTTCATCTAGCAAAAAACACACTTGCATTTAGCATAGAAGTTGCGGTGTCCATAATTTTGTAAAGTACAATAAGCAATAAGATTGTCATAGATTTTTAGAAGAAATCGTAACGACTCCTACCAAAAACAAAGTAATCCAAACTGTGGTTGGGCATGTATTCATAAATTAACATTTTTTCTTCTCCTTCGATGCAGCAACCTAGAAGTTTTACAAGATTACGATGCTGAAGTTTTGCAATCAATGCTACTTCATTTTTGAACTCTTCTAACCCTTGTCCAGATTTCTTTGAAAGCCTCTTGACAGCGAACTCTTGTCCATCTATCAGTTTGCCCTGAAAAAGGTCATCTACTAAAGTTAGAAAATTTTTGACGAAAATAGTTCTGCTAATCTGGATATCAGTTTTCATTATCACCTTGTATACGGGTCCATAACCACCTTCTCCAAGCTTGTTTTTGGATGAAAAGTTTTCAGTAGCATTTGCTAAGACTGACAAATGAAAAGTTGGCAAATCAGCATCTTCTTTTCTCTGTTTAATTTTGTAATGCTTGTTGTAAAGTTTTCTTGCTGTACCTGATTGGTTGCAAGATAACAGTATTTAAACACTAACATGTAAAATGCATATACTTTGTTTTCTTCTTTGTTTCTTATTAATTGGCTATATTCAATGGTAAATTATGTGTATGTACTTACCTGGATTTTTTATTATATATATGCATGCACATATGACTAATCCAAAAATAATCAAACCAACTGCGATTTCTACCGTCTTTTTCTTGATGTTTCCATGGCCAACATGATCTAAAAGAAACAGAAATCATCATCAGTCACTAACATTAACCACAACAGCTCTACTAATTTAAGAAAGTGAATCGAGCTGAGTGAAGGAGAAAACATAGTATTTAATTTAAAAAAATAATTGCCGTACAACCAACCGAACGGTTTAATCTTGCAACTAACTTCAGTTGTTAGAAAAATCTTGCAACTTTACTCCACCCTTCTCTCTTAAAATAATGCAATAATCAACAAGAAACCGAACGGTAATAGAATGCAAAGAAATTGAAGACAAAAATCAAATAAAAAAGTCGATGGAGTACCTAATTCTGAAGCAGGGACTCTGATATACAAATCTTGTCCCCATTGGGAGAATTTCCTCATGTCAACTAGATTATTAAACCAAAGCAGACAGCCATTTCCTCCATCTCGAATATCTAAATTTGCATATGCTGTACAAGAACAGTTTTTAAGACATGACTTCCGACATTCATCAAGGTTCATGGTTCTATTAAACCATGATGAAGACGTGTCTGGCAATTTCAGGTGTGTGTATGTCAAGAAGCCATCTGTATAACTGTTATTGCAATTAGATTTGTTCCTTGGAACGCAACCTTCAATCCAAACTACCATATTCCATTGATCGGGTGACTTGGGAACATAACCTCGCAGGCATTCACAAGTTGCTTGGTTACCATCTGAACTGCATATAGAATTTGAACCACAGAAGGCATAATTCTCGCATTGATCTTGCTCCCCGGTTGAGACGACTTGCAAGGTTCTTCCTTGGGTTGTCCAATAACAACTCTGCCCTGCGCCTGAAGGAGTCAGTTTATATAAGAGGAAGATCGATGGAAGAGCAAGGTCGTACTCATAATACACCTCTTTTTCATTCATCACAAATTTTTGTGATATTTCAGGACTCGTAACTGGATTTGCAACTAGGGACAAGCCATTCCATGACCCTCTTCTCGATTTTATTTGAGATCCCTTGAATTTAAATAATTGAGGGTATCCTCTGAGATCAATTTTTGCTGCATACTCTCCCTCAGCAGGATCGTCAACACTTCTCCAAGACGATAAATATCTTTGTAGACCAGTCTCCAAGTTCCATCCAACTTTCATTCCGGGAATCAATGCATCACCTGGATAATCAAAACTCTGCCACAAGACACCATCCTCGTTGGTTTCTTGTCCATTTTTCACAACAAAATTTCCGGAATCCAAAAGATGAGCAGTTGGATTATTCACTGCTTTGCTTGATATGTTGGATGACCAAATGGTGGTGCTTGTGCCATTGAGAAGAACAAGAATCCCTTTTTCATTGAGTTTGAGAACTCCTGAGTTATCCTCAAGAGGTGTATTTCTGTTGGCCACCCACACCACAGTGAAAGGGGATACATTTGTGTACCATATACCCAAGTATCTTCTTGTTGAATTTCCTGGACTGAAGAAACCCACTTCAATAATTCCACTTGCTGAAACCAAAGTCTCACCATCTCGAATGGATTGACTCGCTGCTAAAGTGTCTAGTGAGTTGGAAGTTCCAGACATAATTGAGAATAAGAAGAACCAAATACATAACATTATTACGAAACTAAGGAAGATGGCGTTAACGTTGGGTTACCGCTTTTGAGGAAGAATAGGCACAGAATGACCATAAAATATATAAAATAAGAAACAAATTATATGAACTTGCCGCGGGGCACGCCGTATTGAACATGTTATACTTTTGTTTCTTTTGTTTAACCTTATTTATACGCAAACCGATAAATATAATAATTTTTTCATATATTTATTTTGATATTTTTATTTTTATTTATAATAAATATATTAATTGTTAAAATATAATTTAATTAGAAATTAAATAAGATATAAAAGTATAATTGACAAAAAAATTAATTAATACTATCTTAAACTTTAAAAATGATATCCTTCCAATACAGGCACATCATTCTCATATATAAAATCTTCATTAAAAATATCAAGTCAACCACAAAATTCACGGCAGAAAAGGATTGCCACCAAAGATATCCTTCCAATACCAAGTATTCCATTATATAAAATCTACATTAAAAATATTGTATTACTTTTATTTTTCATCTTAGAGAGAAAAAAAAATGATATCTAACACATTCGTAATAGAATTACTTGAATCGACCTAAAGATGGAACTGTAATCTTTTATATATATATCATTAACTTTTTTTTTCTCAAATCGAGGATATGAATTAACTAAAACGATTGTTAATTAATTGAAGACAGATTGAATTAAATAGAGAAACAAAAATGAAACCACCTACACTGCACTAAATTAATTTTTTTTTTCATTCGATCTTTCACGAGTAATTCAGGTCTTGTTATTTAGGGAATAAAAAGAAGGAATGTTGTATGATTTGTCTTAATGAACGTATGAAAAAGTACCTTATGGAAGAAAAAGATAGGAATGAATTAGTAATGTTATAAACAAATTATTAAAAGTTTAAAAGTTAACTAGAAATTTATCGAAATTTCATATTTTCTTTTCCTCACACTCTGAAACAAGATATAACCTATATCTACCCATTCAAGCATGATTCACACAATTACATACAACACATACAGTCACAATTCAAGTCACACACAAACAATTATAACACACATTAGCACTAAAATCTAAAAACATATGAAATAGAGTTCAGATCTCTGAGTTGCCTCCCAGGAAGCGCTTGTTTACTATCCCGAGCCTGACTAAAAGAGACCTCAAGGATCTTTGAAAGAAAGGATATAGTAGAGTCTTTCAACTTCTCCATCCAAGTAGGGTTTCAACCGCTGCCTATTTACAACCCAACTTCTTTGTGCCTAAGGATCTTCAATTTCTATGGCACCATAGGGTTTCACCTCCTTGACTCTGAAAGGGCCAAACCATTTAGATCTTAATTTTTCAGGGAAGAGTTTGAGCTTGAAATTGAACAGTAGTACTGACTGGCCTGCCCTAAACTCCCTCTTGAGAATCTTCTTGTCATGATAACTCTTGACTTTCTCCTTGTATAGCTTGTATGATTCATAGGCTTGTAGCCTCAATTCATCAAGAGCATGTAGCTCCAACTTCCTTTTCTCACCAGTACTAAGAGGATCAAAGTTCAGCATCTTCAAAGCCCAATAAGCTTTGTGCTCCAGTTCTACAGGAAGATGACAAGCTTTCCCACACACCAATTGAAATGGAGTGAGACCAATCGGAGACTCGAAGGTGGTTCTATAAGTCCATAGAGCTTCATCAAGCTTTGTAGAGCAATCCTTCCTTGACGATGACACAGTTTTCTCCAAAATCCTCTTGATCTCTCTATTAGAAACCTCGGCTTGACCATTGGTTTGAGGGTGATAGGCGGTGGCCACCTTATGATGGACTCCATAGTGTTCCAGAGCCCTCTCCAACTGAGCATTACAGAAGTGTGAGCCTCCATCATTGATAAGCACCTTAGGGGTGCCAAATCTGCTAAAAATGTGCTTCTTGAGGAACTTCACCACTGTTTGCCATCTGCCTTAGGTGTAGCAATAGCTTCAACCCATTTTGAGACATAGTCCACTGCCACAAGGATGTATTCATTTGTGAAAGAAGAAGGCAGTGGTCCAACAAAATCTATGCGTGCCCCTACAATCGAACACCTTAACTTCCAGCATATTTTGTAAAGGCATCTCATGCTTCCTTGTGATTCCTCTGGCCCTTTGACAACTGTCACACTGCTTGGCATGACTGTGGACATCTTTGAAGAGTGTGGGCCAGTAAAAACCAGATTGAAGGACCTTGGCAGCTATTCTCTCTCCGTTGAAGTGCCCTCCATAAGGAGAGTTATGACAGTGCCACAAAATACTCTTAGCCTCCTCTCTAGAAACACATCTCCTCGGTAGGCCGTCTTACCCAATCTTGAATAAGTGAGCGTCATCCCATACATAATAGGTAACATCACGGAGGAATTTCTTTTTCTGGTGCCATGTGAAATCTTCATGTATGACTCCAGCTGCCTTGAAGTTTGCTAGGTCAGCAAACTAAGGCCGTTCCTGCACCATGAGCAATTTTTCATCAGGGAATTCCTCCAAGATCTCCCTCTCCTTCATGGTCACCTTATCATTCATGAGCCTTGAGAGGTGGTCAGCAACCAGATTTTCCTTGCCACTCTTATCTTTGATCTCTAAGTCAAATTCTTGAAGGAGAAGAATCCATCTGATGAGTCTTGGTTTGGAATCTGGCTTGGTGAGTAAATATTTAATGGCTGCATGATTTGTGAACACAACCACTGTGAAGTCCCACATCGGTTAGGAAGGAGAACGAAGCATGCCATATATATGGGTGTGGATACCTTCCTTGTGTGGACGCGTTTTGGGGTGGCATGCGTGCCCTTGCCAGAAACAAAACCGTGAGGGCTGCGGCCAAAGCGGACAATATCCACATGCGGGTTGCTGGGCTGTTACATTTGGTATCAGAGCCGGGACCCGGGCCGGTGTGCCAGCGAGGGCGCTGGACTCCCTTGAGGGGGGGTGGATTGTGAAGTCCCACATTGGTTAGGAAGGAGAACGAAGCATGCCATATATATGGGTGTGGATACCTTCCTTGTGTGGACGCGTTTTGGGGTGGCATGCGTGCCATTGCCAGAAACAAAACCGTGAGGGCTGCGGCCAAAGCGATCAATATCCACATGCGGGTTGCTGGGCTGTTACAACCACTTTGGAACCAATCAGATAGGACCGAAAATTTTCCAATGCAAACACTATGGCTAGTAACTTTTTTATTCAATGACCTTGATTCTAATCCATATTATGATCAACTTCAATAAACTTCCATTCAAGTGCAAAAAGAAGCACTAAGAGTAAAAGCTTTTTAATAGTAAGCTGAAAAGCAAACTTAGTTGGTATGGTGATACATTAATAAAATTTGAATAAGAGCTAGATGATTTAAATTAGAGCATGCATGAAACTACAAGAAAATTTTCATATAGTGACACATGTCCTATAATGACACATTACATGTTATTAAAAACTATTTTTACCCACACAATAAATAATTAATATTGGTATATTCTTAAAAAAAGTTAGTATATGCTATAATGACACAAAAAAATATGTTATTACATCTCGTTCAAAATAAACACTAAAATTGTATGTATCTATATGTCAAATAAATATATACATACTTATATTGTACCTACAATGACACTTTTTTTTTATATGTAATTGTTTGTAACATTTCTTGTAATGTGAAGCTCTTGCAATAATTTATTAAATTAATGAATGCTCTTGTGTAAAATCTTTATTTTCCACAAAAGTTGATTGCGAGAGTTGCATAGTTTTAAGAAAAGAAATTTCTTATTTGAAAGCTACACTAACAAGGTTCACAAATGGAAAAACCAATATAAACATGTTATAAGCAAAATTATATTTATGATAAAGCTATAATACACTTTAATTCAAATAAAAATGAGTTTCAAAAGAACACTACCAACTTTGTTAGGAGATATTCTAGGCCACTCATTACATGTTTTTATTGTTGCAAGAGAGGTCATATAACTACGAATTATTAAATTAGAAAATACGGTGTTCCTTGTGGTAAACATGTATAGCTAAAAGCCAAGGGTTGAATACTAACATGCAAGGACCCAACACTTGAGTACCTAAATTTGGTTTTTAAATTTTGTTGTAGGAATTCTTGAAGCCTAAAGCTTAATGTGGTATTTAGATAGTGGTTTTTGCTCAAAGCATATGACTAGAGAGCCTTCAAAGTTCTCAAGCCTCAAGATGAAGCATGAATGCTATGTGACTTATGGGGACAACAACAAAGGCAAGATACTTGGATGTGATAATATTGGTAACACACCTTCTACTCTAAGTGAAAAAGTTTTGCTTGTTAAAGGACTTAAACAACCTGTTAAGTATAAGAAAGTTGTGTGATAAAGACTTCAAGTTGTTTTGATTTGGATGAAAGAAGTACATCTATACACACATTAAAGTATAAATGTATAATTAGATTTCTATTATATCTATCAGCCAGTAAACTCAATAAAATGTTTGTTGTATGCTAGCATGCTAGATTTCACGCAAATCCAAAAGATTCACATATGACTACTATTAAGAGAATTCTAAAATATCTAAGAGGAACTATTGATTTTGGATTATGGTTTCCTAAGGGTGTTTCTTTAAGCTTAATAGGATATTTTGATTCTAATTATTCATGTGGATTAGATAGAAAAAGTACTATTGATACTTGTCATCTTTTAGGAGGTGCATTAGTTTCATGGCATAGTAAGAAGCGAGCTTATGTTACTTTAAGTACAACAAAGATTGAGTACATAGTTGTTGGAAGTTGTTGTGCTCAACTTCTATGGATGAAGCAACAACTAATGGACTATCATGTAAAACTAGCTAATATTCCTCTAAGGTTTGATAATACTAATGCTATAAATATAACTAAGAATCTAATTTTGCATTCTAGAACTAAACATATAGAGATAAAAACATCACTTTTTTAGCACTAGTATAAAAGAGGTAATTTACGTCGGTTTATTTTAAGCTTTTTATGTCAGAAAAAAGTCTGACGTTAATGCGGGAAACATAAGTTTACGTCGATTTTGAAAATCGACGTAAATTTACGTCGGACATTACCAAGGTCCGACGTAAAAAAAGTAGTAAAAAAAACATAACGAGTGCAAGCAGAA